TATAATTATATATGATTTAATAAATAATTTAATATATTTTTATATATAGTTATATATAAATTTATATATAATTATATACAATTATTTATAAAATATATCCATTTATATACAAATAAAATTATATATATTTTTATATAATTTTATATAATTATATACATATAATATTTTTTCCCGGGCTAGTAGCGCTCAGAAGTATTTTTCTATAAGGGAATATCCAATATTGTGGTAAAGATATCGCAAAATTTTCACGCATAAATTTCTGTCCTCTACAATACTTATGTTTTTGTTCAATCATTCGGGTAATATCTTCTATCGACAACTTACCGCAATCTTGGCGAAAAAAGACTGTAATAAAGTCCAATAATGATTTTGATACATTCAGAAAAAACATAGCGATGTATTCTCATTTGACCACAAGTACTGTTCCTGTACAATCCAAATATCAAAATTGTTTGGAAATAGTGCTCGATCGAATATTTATCATTTTTACATATCTATTTATACAATACATTCACTCGAACTTTTCAAATTGTTTTCAGAATCTTCAATAATATTCGTACATGTATCGTTAAGAATCGCTATATTATGTAGAATAATTCTTCTTTACATAAATGATGAATACACAGTTGCTTGCGTAATATCCTTCAAACTAAATTACTTTATCGTTTTATCAATCTTATATAATATCCAAGCAAACGGATAGCTGTTATTTACAGTCTGTTCTTATTTTTTAATGCCTTGAAGCTACTAACTAATTGCCGCAGCCATTAAATAAAAAATAATACGTTAAAATTTTTTACATGCCATTTGTAAATAAAGAGAATTTGGATAAAACAAAATAATGAGATCAATGAATCTATAACTCATATTTATCATGTTTAGCACGTAATCCGTACTACGAATTTCAATATTATAAGGCAAGAAATCAAAGACGGTTAGATATAATCATAACGTTATTATAACATTTTTATTGATTAGGATAACTCCAGTGTATACGCCACACCTATCAAAATTAATTTATTAAGTATTAGTTATTATGTTTAAAGTAAACTACTATATATATCAGTAAAAACTGTACTGTCTGCTACTATGAAAAAAATATTAGAAATCCGAAATATTTAATTTTCATTTTAAAGTTTATTAAAAAATAAACTTTGACACCCTTGCATTTTTGCTACTCATAGGGGGAGAGAGGATATGTACAACTCATGAAAAATTTACAAATAATGCATATAAATAAGACGTAAAATAACACAATAACTTATAAAATGCGTTTATAAAGTTTTATTAAAGAATAAGAATGATAAATATGTATATAAAATAATAAATAATAATTACAATCTTCCTACACATACTTGTATATATTACAAGTGTTATGACATAAGGTACATATTTCATATAATGCGTTTATTGTATTTAGTGCTGAATTCAATCTGCGCACTTTGTATGGTTTGGGCATAAATCTCGCTTGCTAAAAATACCGTATATCCCAAACAAGTGAGATATACAAAACAACAAACTAAACAAAAAATACGAAAGCAAAGCACTTGCATTTTGCTACAACATGCTTTACTATTCCACTACACGTATGTATTACACGCATTAGAAACAGATTTTTAAAGCTTAAACATTGTTCCATTGTATGGCGTAATTGCTAATTTTTTAAATGTAGAATATATAAATTTTAGTTAAAAATGTGACACTATTGTCCTTCTTTCAAAGCATTCCGGAATGGTTACACAAGGAAAGTAATGTTATATTTTTAGTTTAAATTTATATTATATATATTTTACTTCTTAAATAAAATTGACAATTATACGATTTGATAGAGCAAATTTAAGTTTTAGCTTTAAGAATTTGTTTCTTTAATTGTAGTACGGTGATTTTTAAAATAGAGTTATGAGCAATACAAATCACAACTTTTCCTTTTTACTTAACTCACAAATAACTCAAGAATCGTCTTAGGAACAGAAAAAAAATGATTTTGAAAGGAAAACTTCAAGCTTTCACGATAAATAGATAAAAACTTTTGCAATTTTTGGGGGGTATATAGAGAACTACAAAGTGAGAAAAAATTTTTCTGTTTTTTTTTTTAAATTAAAAAAGCGCAAGAACTTTTTGAATAATAAAAACGAAAAGTCGAGTATCTTAATAAAAAAAGGTTATAAAAAAATTTTCAAACATGCATTTCAAAGAAAAGAGATAGAGCAAATGTATTTTTTAATTTCTTTTTTACGGTATTATGTTCTAAATTATGTTAAATAAAAAAATTTGTATTTTTTAAAGATATTCTTGTTTTATTTTGTAACTAGCGGCAGATTCAAACGCAGGGATTACTTTCGAAATAAATACTCTGAAATTCTTGGTTAGTCTGTTTATTCAGACTAATTAATTAATTTGTTCAGACGAGCGGTATGACTGTGACACCAAGTAATGAACATCAATGGGCAAAGTTAACGAAAAATATCTTAAAGTAGACTTTCTAAGCTATAATATATTTTTTAAGAAATTAATATAATAAGTTTTCGCAATGGTATTGATCGAATTTCTTGTTTAAAAACTTATTTTTAAAAATGTTTTTTAATTTCAAAATTGAAGATTTAGGAATAGACATTATTTATTTGTTAGATATTTGAAAATCATTCATTAATTCTTGAATTTATCCCTCTTTAGCCGGTGTTCGTAGTCCGTAAGAATAATTAATAATGTAAAAAAATACGAATTGTTACTACACAAAAAAGGAATATTGCAGTGCGCAAACAATTGTCGTCTAACATGTACATACTTGTATGTATACTTACTTATACATACATGTA